GATGCTAAGAGGGCTCAGTAAAAACTCCAAGAAATTAGGCTTGCTTTTTTCAACGTTACATCCTCAACACCTAGAAAACCACATTCTTCTAAAATATGAATGACCCACTTCATTCGTTCTCATTTGAGACAACTACCCCATTTGAACTTAATTTGTATTATTTCTTGCATTATTGCAAATGTAAAAGTAGTAGGTAGCCAAGTATTCTGAGTTACCAAGAAGAATAGAAATGAAATCCTATCTTTAGTCAGCAAGGTTGGTGTTATAAGTCATTTAAATATTTAGTGTGACTTCTAAGTCTCATTTACTCTTCTAAAAGTATGGATCTCTTCACATTCACTATTTTCTTCTGATTCATTCATGTTTATGTCACCTAGCTCATTTCCAATATCAATCTAAAAGCCCTCAGGCAATTTTTCCAAAGAGAATTATAAGAAACCAGTAGAAAAATCTAACCTCTTGCTATTATTGCTAGCTAGGCATTTTTTAATTTGTTCTTGCAAATTACTTTCATACTTTCAGAAATTATAAATACAAATAATTATTGCCTATTATAGTTCTTATGTTGACTTTTGCTTGGGAATTTTTCAGCAGCTTTGAAAGGACTTTTCCAAATGTTTCATTTGGTGTGTTGAAAACTCTTTCCAGTAATGATGACAATGTAATGCTCTCTGCCTTCCACTGGACTGCAAGGATGTCTGTGCTTGTGAGATTATTGACAGACTATTGCTTCTACAGTAGAGCACAGCTGTCCAAGCCCTAAATAACAGCTACAGCTAACCCCATGGGGGCAGATTCCTAACAATTTTCCAAGTTTTCTGTGTTAGTGACAGGTTTCAAGCATACACTCAGCTATTAAGACATCAGAGTGTCTTTCATTTCTTAATCATTAGCAATGTTCGCTCTGATTGCCCATGGAGTTGCAAGCTGTTAAAATGATCATTTGCTCCTTACTAATTTTGAAACCAAGAGCTGTTGCCTCCTTTAATAAAATGTCCGTCTCGCCTATGAACATGCATAACTCAATGCCCCTGAGTCTACTATGAGAAAAGTTAACCTAGAAGTAATTTGCAAAGTAAATGGGGTTACATGAGGGTATAGTTCTAAGTACTGAAGAGCTCATTATTTCAACAGGATTCAATATACAAGTTTGTTAGTGGTATGTTTTCAATCAATTTTCTCTACCTTTTACAATGTAGTATTTTTGGTGATTATTTAATGAAGAGAAAAGTGAGGTAAAAGATTCAAAATTCATCTTTTAATAATAAAAGGATAGTTGAATTTTCAACAGAATTAAGATAATGTAGAATTATTATGTTAGATCAATAAAATATTTAAAAAAATTTAGAATATTATGTTTATTATGTTTCACCTGGCTAAAACTGAGCCTGCACAGGACCATATCACATGTAGTACTCAATTAATGCTTGATAAATTGATCTAATATGTGTTACGATCAATTTATAGTATGATCTTGACCAATCATTTAAAGTTAGTGCATATTACAGGAAAAATTAAAATTTATGGATTTTTTGGGAAATATGTGCTGTCTAATGTTGGATATATTTCTACAACATGGGACTAAAGGTGTCTGTTTTGAGATAAGATGTTCCTGTGGACTAGGTCTGTACAAGCTACTTAGAAAATCTCTTAGAAGTAAAACTAGCTCCAAGCCCCATTCTCAAAGACTATTGAGTAGCTGATGCATAAGGCTAGGTTTTTGTGGGAACTTCCTAGATGTTGATGACAAAGCTTCAGAATGACCAATATATGTCATCCTTAGCCATCTCTTCTAGGAAGAATCAGCAATCACAAGTATTTGTCTAGTCTCTATTGAGTGTGACTGTCTTGGTCCTCCTGCTTTGGAAAAACCCAGGCAGCTGAGGTAATTGATGGGTATTTCCCTTAGAATCAAGAGAATGAACATCTGGTCTTCCTGAATCCCAAATTTCTGACTTTGAGGATTTCCTCTAAGCACTGACCCAACGCTAGACAGCAATACACTGTGAATATGCCGCTGTGAAGTCATTGCTTTAGACACAACAAGGGAAGCAAAAGTTAGTTCTATAGAGAGGCTCTTTCACACATCCATGCTCACACTAACCCTCTTGGCCATGAGCCATCCCATCCATTACTGGTGTCATTCTTCATGGCACAAACCTCTCCTGGAATTTGTCCCCAGACCTTTCAGCCTGGGGCACAGAGTTTCTGGCTTGCCTGGTCTCCATTACTATGAAAGAGAAGTATGTAAAGGACATCTTGTCTGTATTTCAACCCACTGTTTATTCTCCTATTGTTACTCTTATGATTATAATGAGAACACTCATTTCCCAATTCTAACTGTATTTTCTGGTTTTCTTCTTTTTTTTTCTATGTATTGACTCAAAGTATTTTTAGAATGTATATGTATATTACTTCTTTCCTCCCATAAGCTGTTTTCATGCATTTTCTGTCTTCTACATATATTGTATACCCCAAATTAGTACCTCCAACTCAATAACATTATTAGTATACAGTCAAGTGTTAATTGTAATTCATTGTGGTTTGACTGCATATTTTAAGAAGTGATATCCTTTTATTTTAGAGACCTCCACTGCTTATGGTACTGGTCAACTCTGTCTTCCTAAGGAAGCAAATAACTTTGCTTTTAGGTGGGAGGTTTGCTAAGCACTTTGTAAAGGTAGACTGTGATGTAGCGTGTGTCCTTGGAAAATGTGCAAGGGAAATAGCTATCATTTCCTTTCAGGTTGAATTCACTTGCCCTTCAAATTCATGTCTTTCGGACTGAATGCTGTGTAGAACAAAAGAGCATGATTAAGAATAGTTAGACAAAATCACAGTCCCTGCATAATCCACCATTAAAACTTAATAACTTTGAATCTCTAGGAAATATTGCCAGTTTAAATCATTCAAATTTATTTTCATCTAAGATAATGTACTTAACCATGAGCAACCATGTTTAAACAAATAGAGGATTTTATTTTTCACATGAATTTTTGTGTCTGAAAAAGTTCAGCTAAAATCATATTAAACCCTGAATGAGTGAATGAATGAGGAAACAAACAAAACTTTCCTGAGCATGAAACCATTCAAGTCTTATAGCACAAAATGGCAAGCCCACTCCTGCCCCGCACAGGTCCCAGGCCACCCGCTGAGAGACATTCCTAAACTCCTCTAACATGATCCATATGGAGGAGAGGCATCAGGAGTGACACTCTTGGAGCAGAAGGCTTTCCCACTAACTGAAAAACCAGGTCGTATTCCTTTTGATCACTGGAGAACAGCAACCAGTATTTTATGCTTGAGAAGGCTATCACTAAAGCTATAATGAGGATGATGTTTCCTGTTCCCTCTCTCATCCTCTGTCCTCTGACTTTCTTTTTCAGTGACTGAATCAGAGCATTACTTGGATGGTGTTGACTAGGTCCAATCACTATCTTTAGACAAAATTGAGACATCTTTAAGTTGTCCTTTTCAGGTGTTAGGGACATTGACATTAATAATGACCATATATCAGGGTGGTGAAAATGCTAAGTTCTTTTTTTTTTTTAAGTGCAGTTAGAAATAGGAGGATTGAAAGACAAACACTGTAATGTGAATGAAGATATTCTAGATAATTAACTTCATGATATTTAGTTTTTGCATTTTTTTTAATGTCTGAAATGAAGAAAAGTACATTTTGAAGAAAAGAAAAATATACTTACTGCATACTAGCCTGTGCTTGCTTGTCTGGGGAGATTTGCAGAGGCTGTTGGTGGTGGTCCTGGGCTGTACTGGTGCTGATGCCTGTGGTGGTGTAGTGGTGCTGCTGTTGATGATGGTGGTGTCAGTAATGGTGGTACTGCTGGTGGTGCTGGTGGTAAGGATGGGGTGGTGGTATGGTGATGTTTGTGCTGGTGGTACGGATACTGGTGGTGGTGGTGATGCTGGTGGTGATGGTGCTGGTGGTGATGTGGGTGCTGGTGGTGATGGTGATAGTGGTGAGGCAGTCGTGCTGATGCTTGTGGGATGTTGGTGGTTTGATGGTGGTGCCAATGTTTGTGGTCATGACGATGGTAGTGTTGCTGCTGGTGGTAAGGATGGTGTGGTGGTGTGGTGATGGTTGTGCTGGTGGTATGGTTCTGGTAAAGTAGTGATGTGATGATGGTTGTGACATTTGGCCTCTAAGAAGTCTGGTTTTTTTTTCCACTATAGTACATTTTCTCTATCTTAGTAGCAAAGAATGTATATAAAGTTTAGAACTAGGGCCTAAAAGCATATTGTTCTCTGACTTTGATTTCTTTTTGTGTGTATAATTTCTTTCCTGTTCTTGTGGGGAGCCAGGGCCTTGTGCTTGCTAGTCAAGTGCCCTAACACTGAGTTAAATCCCACTGAGTCCTCTTATCTCTAATTAGATAAACTAGGTTTGTAGATGAATTCTTATTTTGTTGCAAACTGAAGCTTCTGGCATTTATATTTGCAGCTGTTGATAAGAATCAAAGGAGATGAATGTGTTGAGATGCATAAGTGACTTTAGGAAATATGAAGAGCAGTATGATAAGATTTATAAATTGATCTTATTTTAAATATATTAACTGAAAGGCCCTCATTTCTTTGCAAACTCTTTGATCTTGGTTCAGAGTCAAGTTCCAGTGTATTTACATTTTTTACCATAAGCCAATGGCCACTGCAAGTTACTTTTACAATATGTACTGTGACGATAGGCATGAGCATCTTTGCCTCTGTTGTCCAAAGAAATGCCTCATAATTCTTTCGTTCTTACATCAATTTCTGGATATTTGCAAATGAATTTCTTTCTGATTGCTCTTCCCCTTTTTCTTTTTACAATTGGAAAAAAGTGTCTGTACATGATTTCATGAGAGTATCAAGAAGAAACATTTGGCAACTTTCTTGAGACATTGACAGAACTAGATTAAAACTGAACGCCATAAAAGTTTGGGTAGTACAATAAAGCAAGGAATAATTTGGTTTGTTTGTTTTTTCCCGTCTAATATTTTTAGGTACAAGCCTATGCAGAAAGTGGATGGGGTTGCAGATGGTTTCACAGGAAGTGGCCAACAGACAGGCACATCTGTTGAGCAAACTGTAATTGCCCAAAGTCAACATCATCAACAGTTTTTAGGTATGTTAAGGTGTAATGCATAGTTGCATAGTAGTTGCTATTAGGATTTTGCAGAGAACAATAGTAGTCTCTTCTCCAAGTAGAATGTCTTCAGATGTTAACTCCATATAAAGGGGGAGGTGATTTTGTGCTGAAACTATAACATTAAATGATAGTTCTAGTTCATCTTTATTCAAATATTAAGCTATATAGAATCTTGAATGCATCTGCCTTAAAAGGTCAGGGCTATGAAAGTGTTCTCAAGAGTTTATATTACAGTTGGCTTTTGTGATCAAAATCATGTTGTGTTTACTTGAGAAATAATGTCCAGTACCAAAGAATTCTCATTTCCTGTGTACAAAGTTACATATCCATAGTCTTAGATTAGAAAAATTATAAACATTTTAAATAATTTATTCTTTTAAATTGATTACAATGCTTCCTGTTTGAATATTTATGCTATAGCCAGAGAAGCAAAAGTGGTAGTTCAGTTGCTAGCTGTTCCATAGATGAATATGCATCGTCTCCAAACAGTGGGCCAATATGAAAAGATGCTATTGGGGTGTATGTGTACACACACAGGTGTGTGTTTATGTATCTGTGTGCATGTGTGTGTCTCTGTGTGTGTGTGCTTATGCGTATGTACATGTATGTGTCTGCGTGTATGTGCTTATGTGTGTGTGCATGGGTGTCTGCGTGTGTGTGCGTGTGTGTGTGTGTTTTTGTGTACTTGCCAATAGAAACAGCTGGAATAGACTTTCAAGTTAGAACACTCCTGAGCTTGACACTGCTATGGCAGCATTTCCTAAACCAAAGTGCCCATATGTAATCTTATGGACCATCGAGCTTGAAAACACTATAACTTTTTATTTTGTAGCTGTAGTTGAGTTGTAATATGCAAAAAATTTAAAAACAGGGATACACAGAGAAACCCTGTCTCAAAAAAAAATTAGGTTTCCTAGAACTTAGAAATTAATATTATTCTTCGTTTAATTTTGACTTTATGGTAAGGAACTCACCAAAGTACATTACTAATTGTCCAGGACTAATGAGAAAAAGAGAGAAAGAGAAAAAATGAGAGAGAGTGTGTGTGATGTATGAATTATAGTGTCATCAAGAGAGGGCAATAGCAAGTGTCATAGTCATTTGAATGCAGAAGTATATTTGGGCAGGTGGCCACCAAGAAGAGCAGATTGGTGTAGGTGTTATACTCAGAAGACTTATCTACAGCAATTGACACCATGTTCATGTGTGAGAGATGATTGGATTATAGGGTAGCATCATCCATCACATCAAATTAATGTTGTTAATTTAATGTTATTTTTTAACTTTTTGGCTTTTAGTTTTATAGCCTTCATTTTATGATTATGTAAAAGGTATGAACATAATGGATTTAAGGCTATGTTTATTTTTATGAGGTTGGATAGCACAATAATAAAAATAACTAAAATCACTACTGGCAAGCTCAGGTTGTTTTTCTTTTACTAAGAACCTATCCAGTGCCCAGTTTAATTAGAGTAAAGCTTAGTTTATTTGAAATTCACAAATACACTCCATTCATTCCTATGATACATGCTGATAATGTTACTAAGTCTGGCTAGAAAATATTAATTTGAAAGTTAGTGATCTTTGGCACTCTGATCTCCAAATTTTCTTTCCTTTTTAGTCTTCTGAAAATTTCCCTCATTAATCTGTAATTGACACCATCCACAATAGCTTTTTTCTGTTGTGTTGTCATGGTAACAGATGCATCTCGAGCACTTCCAGAGTTTGGAGAAGTTGAAATCTCTTCTCTGCCAGATGGTACTACCTTTGAGGATATCAAGTCACTGCAGAGTCTTTATCGAGAGCACTGTGAGGTAAGACCTTCAAACATAGTCTGAGCACATGCTACATTTTGCCACATAACTTGTTAAAAACAAAATAATAAAGATTTTTTCCCTAGAGAACAGAGAAGTTCTAGTTATTTTGAGCATTTCTTTGAACACTAATAAAAGCCTTCTTCTTGTCTCAGTGGAAAGTGAGGGAATGTGTGAAAGTGAGAATATATTTTATTCTCCATTTCTTAAACTGATCTTTGTATATTTTAGTATAGCAATTCTACTCTGGGTCTGTCTGTAGAACAAACTTACATATGAATAACAGATCAAATGTACAAGGGAGCTTATTGCATTATTCTTTTGATTTATGAGACTGCCTATAGTTTCAATATCTAATTGGGAGAGGGATTAAGTCTGCTATAATTTATAGGTTGGACTACTATACACTTATAGGACAGAAAACTCTAAATGTACTAAAAGGAAATGCACTCCAGGGTTTAATGTTAAAACAAAACAAAAAAAGATACAGAAAATTCGTGCAGCATGTTGACCTTTGAACTTGCATAAATGTCTTTCCACACGGAAAAGTAAAATGTTAGTAATATTTGTGTTGGTTTGAATCACTCATACTCTTGGGCATTTGAACATATGGCCCCAATTGTTGGTGCTGTTTAGGGAGGCCTAGGAAATCTGTCCTTATTAGAGGTAGTTTGTCACTGAGGTGGGCTTTGAGTATTTAAAGATTTGTACCATTTCAAGTTTGTTCGTTCTGCTTGGTGCCGGTGGTTCAAGATGTGAACCCCCCACTTTCTGCTCCTGCTTTCATACCTTTGGATAGCCATTATGGACTCTAATCATCTGAAACCACAATCCGAAATAAACTCTTCTATATGTTGCCTTGGTTATGGTGCATATCACATCAATAGAAAAATAGCTAATACAGAAATTGGTTCCAGAGAGTGGGGTATTACTGTGAAGAATCTGACAATTTTTTTCTGGAGGAATATGAAAGGCTTTGGAACTTTGCACTAGAAAAAATGGTTGAAAGCTGTAAATAGGGCTTAATGGGGCCTAATAGGATCTTGGAAGACAGTAGTGTTGAGAGATATGTGGACTCTTGAGGTCCAGCTAAAGGGGTTTCAGAGTAGAACAATATTAGTAATTGGACTATAGACTGTACCTGTGAAATTTGGGCAAAGAATTGGCTCCTTTCTGCCCATGCCCTGTGAACTTGCCTAAGAATAAATTTAAAAGTAATGAACTCATTTTTTTTTAGTAGAAGAGATTCAAGACAGCTTAATATCAACTCAATCTCTTATTTACTAGAAATCACTCTTAAGTAGGTCTATAATAAAAAAAATGGTTCAGAAAGAAATGCAAAATGTACAAAAATTAAAAGGACACTGATAAGTATAATGTTATTGCCAAGGCTTATACTATAAGAGAGACTGCAATTGTTAAGGAGATTAGGGCCATTAAGGATAGGTCAGATCTAGAGTCCAATAAAGGGAAGGTGCCCTCGAGTCAAGACCTTATCCAGCTAAGCTTCCAGCTTGTAAAGAAAGTATGTGTTTTCTTAGGCCTCGGGAAAGCAACTTCAATAAAAAGCTGCTGCTAATGTGGATCAAGGGGGCCAGGGTACATCCCGTGCAGACAGTTAAACTTCTCAGTGTTGTTCCTGTGGTGATGGCTTCAGAGCCCTGAAAGATATGGAGGTTGTAGAATCTTCCCTGTGGTTTCACAGGGCTACTGAGGCCAGGCAACATGTTACAGGGGAGTCCATGCCTAGAGGTTATGAGAGAGGAAGGAGCCCTGAAAGTTCACTGTATGAAGCTGTGTAAATGAACCCTGGGTTGTATTAGAGTCCCTAAGATGTTGGAGATGCCAGAGGCATGAGACACCTGAAGGAAAGCTTCACATGAGGCATGGAACCAGCCCAGAAGAGAGAGATGTATGTTACAGGCAGCAGAGTTTGAGAAACAGAGCCATCTAAGCCCTTTGACATCAGATATGACATTAGAAAATTTGATGTTTGCCCTGCTGTTTTTCAGTCTTGTTTTGGTTCAGTATTTCCTTGTTATTACCCTATTTTTTCCTTTTGGAACAGTAATATATATTCTGTGCCATTATTTGTTTAGATGTGTGTAATTTTTATTTTATAAGGGGTTACAGTTAAGAGATTGCCTTGATTCTCAGAAGAGACTCTGGACTTTTAAATAGTATTGTGACTGAAAATCTATGAGAAATTCCAAAGTTGAACTAAATGTATTTTGCTTTATGATGTAGCTCTGTTATTGTGAGGGCCAGAGAGTGGGATGTGTGGTTTCAGTGGGATGTCCCCTGTTGTCTTGGGCATTTGAATACTTGGTCCATAGTTGGTGGTGTTCTTTGTGGAAGCTTAGGAGGTGTGGTCTTCTTGAAGAATGTACATCACTGGAGGTGGGCCCTGAAAGTTTAAAGGCCCCCACCATTTTGAGTTTGTTCTCTCTGTTTTGTTCTTACAGTTCAAGGAGCCCTTCCATTCTTGCTCCTGTCACCGTGACTTTGCTCTGCTGTTATTGTCTCTAACCCTCCGGACCATAAACCCCAAATAAACTTTTCTTCTGTAAATTTCCTTGGTCATGGTGTTTTATCACAGAAGTGGAAGAGTAACTAGTGCAGTACCCTTGTAAAAACAAACAAACAAACAAACATGCAAACAAAATAAAAACAAAAACTGGAGGCCAAGTTCAGGAGAGAGAGTCAGTTTTTCAATGGACCCTTTTGAATACCACAAATGTATGTTTCTGCTTAAATATACTTAGTAAGAACTTTTGGTCTTCTTTTTAGGGATCCTTTATACTGATTTTAGAATTTAAGTAGCTTTATCTTGGGAGTATTCATGATTTGCATACAATTTAATGATTACCCAGTGATTTCTAGAGAATTCCTTTTGACTATTGACAGTGAAAAATGAAATAAGTTTCAGCTTAAAACATGTCAAGATTGTTTGAAGGTTTGGTTACTGAAGGTTTCTCTTGATGTTTAGACTCCTCCTCCTGCTCTTCTTCTTGTGTCAGAGTTGGTGTCATTCCCTAGGAGGGAGCATTCTCCATTCCAGTACATTAGTGCATCTTACATTCACCTGGTAGAAAGGAGAGAATACATTGCAGAGTTTTCTTAAGTAGTTTTAGAATTTAAGTAACTTTATCTCAGGAGTATTTGTGGTGTGCCTGCAAATTAAGGAGTAGCCTGTGATTTCTAGAGAAGTCCTCTTGCCTGTTGACAGCAAAGGATGAAATAAGAAATTTCATTTAAAGTATATATAGATTTTCCCATTGCTCCAGAAATAAGATGACTTGAGTGAACCCAAGTGCTTGTCAGAGATGCCAGGTTATTGACAGCCAAGGACAAGTCCTCTCTTTATCAACATCTTGCATGACAGAGTGTTCTTCAACCTATCTTACTCGTTTCCAGCACTTCTGCATTATATGACCCACTTAGCACTCACTTCCCTTTGACTCATTTGTTTTCCTGAGTATTGCAATACTTCTAAATTGTCATTGTACATGTGGAAAATTTTCTTTTAACACCTATCACATTTAGTGAAAATTCTTTAAACAATTCTTCATTTATCTGTATCCAGATAAAGCCTTCTGTAAGCAGCTTAGCTTGTACAAATATAATTCACATTTTTTGAGTGACTCATATTTATTCAGAGTATAAATTGGAGTATAATTATTTACATTGCTAAAGAGTGTACAGTGAGATCATTCTAAGCAACAGATGCCTCCAATAAGATTAAAATGGTCTTCACATTATAAAATTTTATGAAAATTCCAATTGTAATGAATAAATATACTTTATGTGAAGAGATGGAGAACTCATAATAGAATTAATCTGTGTAGTAAATGGCAGTCCACAAAATGAACCCCACTTGTTTCTAAGTTATCAATTCTCATGCCATCTCTCATGGAACAGAGTGGTATATTTAGAAATTTAAAATTCTGATTTTTTTGTTACATGTCAAAACATTTTAAATAAAGCTGCCTTGCTCTCAGATTCAATCTTGTAGTCATTTGCCATAAGCCAGTAGATTATAGATTATTTTAATTTCTATTTGCCTATATATTTGAAAATAAGTTGAAAAATAATAGTATTTTAGTCACTTACCAAGCTGCCTTAAATGAGGCTGGTGTGGGTGTCATTTTCAAAGTATTATTTGAGATTCATTTGAAGATACTGGATTTATGATGTGCTGAAGTTCTTGCCATATTTTACTTCATATTTTCTATAGTTTATACTTTTAAGGTAGGATTAGTCTCCTATTTGGAATTCTTTTCATGTATTTGTTAAGATATTTTTAAGTATCACTAGTTTTAGTCTTAGAGGTATGTTATGGCTCACACTGTAGAGACATCACTTAGAATGTGCCTAAGCTGCAGTTAAAGAAGCAGGTATCAGAACTTCTTCCCGAGAGGGTTTTGACTTCATATGAGATGAGGGACAACTATATTTGCTTTATTTTCAGAGCTTGCCTTCAGTATTTTTTAGTCTTACTGAAAAGTTTCACTAGCTGCCAACTTGCAGCATTCCCTGCTAGTTCTCAGAACACATCCTCCATCCACATGCTTAATGTCTGAATTAGCCATCAAGGTGTTCTCTGTCTCACGCTTCAGGCCTTGTCTATACATGTGGCACATACGCTAAAATTACAAAGTTACAGTTTACTTTTTCTAAAATACTCAGATGGACTCTAGGTTGTCTCCATTTTCTTGCCTTCTTTTATAGGTCTGTATGGGAATCTTCTCTCTTAGTTCTCAGTTATTGATGGAATCAAACCCATTATACTGACTTATACTACCTACACATCAACCTTTTGGCATTCAGCATAATCACAGTATTAAATTTTCTTTGGCTTCATGTTTGCTGTTATCAGAAGGCTCTACTATAAAGTGATTAGAGTGGCAGACTGAAATTAAATATGGTCATCAAAAGTTAGATATGGAAGTGACAGTTACTGACATCATCACAAAAGGAAAAAGAAACTTGTTACACCTGGAAAACGGTTCTAGAAACTAAATTTAAACTAAAAGGCAAGGCAAGGCAGGCCCCACAGTTAGAAAACAGTAATCTTAAACTAATCTATAAAAGGAATATACAAAAGTAAGATTGTCTGCCGGGCGGTGGTGGCGCACGCCTTTAATCCCAGCACTCGGGAGGCAGAGCCAGGCGGATCTCTGTGAGTTCGAGGCCAGCCTGGACTACCAAGTGAGTTCCAGGAAAGGCGCAAAGCTACACAGAGAAACCCTGTCTCGAAAAACCAAAAAAAAAAAAAAAAAAAAAAAAAAAAGTAAGATTGTATGCTGTAGTGGGGAATGCAAGTTATTATATGGCTATATGTGTATTTCTTTTCTTCCCAGAAAGGTATCAGTGTCTGGAGGCCTCTTGACTTCAGTTCATATGTTAACTCTGCCTGACTGAGACCCATAATCAGTACCCTTAGAAGATTAGATCAACCTTAACCCCATCTGCCACACTTGAACAACTTATCATTCGTTTTCAAGACAGGGTTTCTCTGTGTAGCTTTGGAGCCTGTCCTGGAACTCACTCTGTAGCCCAGGCTGGCCTCGAACTCACAGAGATCTGCCTGCCTCTGCCTCCCGAGTGCTGGGATTAAAGGCGTGTGCCACCACTGCCTGGCGCAACTTATCATTCTTAACCTCTCCCTTCTTGGATGGCCAGTGGTCATTCATCCAAGAACACAGATGTTGGAATGCTTTGTCCTTCCTGGTCAGGAGTATGTAGAATGCTGTGATGGTTGGTTTGAACTGTCAGCTTGCCAAGTTGTCTAGATTTACCCAGGAAGAGAGTCCCAATGAGGGATTGTTTAGATCAGGTTGGACTGTGGGAGTGTCTGTGTGGGAATGACCTTATTACATTAGATTTTAATAGCATCTTATTTAAACACAGAATGTGAAAAAGCACAACCTAACATGGAAGCAATATAAACAAACAAATAAATAAATAAATTACTCATGTTATGTCTTGACATTTAAAAACTAGAATATAAGCAGATTATTAATTTCCATTTCTTTTCCCATCTTTGAATGTTACATGTCAATAAAGGAAATATAATACATTAACTGTACCAGTTATTGTATCATCTCTTCTAAGTTTGAAATGAGCTTGTATTACCAAAAATGGAAAGAATAAGAAAATATTAACTTTTACTAATTATTTTTTCTATTTTCTAAGCTCAAAGTATAGTTGACATATTATGTAAGCAATAAACATAAAATTCAGTTGGTTACCTAATTAGTCTATATTAGTTTCTGTTCTATTGCTGTGATAAAACACCATGACCAGAAACACTTAGAGAAGAAAGAGTTTATTTGGGCTCATGGTCCCCAAGGGCTAAGAGTTTGTCATGGCAGGGAAACAATTTAGCAAGCAGGAGCAGGGCAGCAGAAACAAGAAGCTGAGGACTCACGTCTTGAATCATAAGCACAGAACACAGACAAAGAACTTGAAACAGCACACATCTTTAAAGTGTCAAAGCCCGCCTCCAGTGACATATATCCTCCAACAAGGCTACATCTCCTAAACATCCCCAAGTAGTGCCATCAATTGAGGAGCAAGTATCCAAATGCCCAAGACTATGAGGAACACAATATAAACCACCAAGCAGTCAGATATTTCAACATGGAAACAGTATAAACATTAGTGGCTAATGTTTGCACTTTTCTTTTGGAGTTGTTCAAATTCCATCTGTTTTTATTTCAACAAGAACACACTACATAGACAAATCATTACTACTTATTTTCATTTCTTTTGTTACTGAGCCACTGAAATATAGTGGTGTTAGTATTTCAGAATGTAAATGATTGAAGAAATTATTATTTGATTTTACATTGTTTTACTGTATTTTTGAAAGGCAATATATTATCACTTCAATATGTAATTAATATAATAGCTAGCTATTTAATTATTGTCTGTCCTTTGTGTTTTAACATGTCTTGAATATGCAGTGTACCTTTAGTACTTATAAGCTTTAGATGCTGTTTTGGAGTCACCAGATTTCCAAGGCAGGGTAGATACATGTGGCTGGTGTGAATCACTGCAAACAAGATAGCATTTGTGCAAAGGGTCAAATACATATGGGATGGTTTAGACCATGAAGGAATTGTAGCTGCCTTAGCAGAAACATCTGGTTGGTGGTAAAGTAAAAGAACAAGGGAAAGTAAAGGAAGTATTATGGTTTGGTCATTTTGTTTTTAGGCAATTTTGGACGTTGTTGTGAATCTTCAGTTTAGCCTGATAGAAAAATTATGGCAAACATTCTGGCGCTATTCTCCCTCTACTCCAACCGACGGCACTACCATTACTGAATCAAGGTCAGATTCAACGTGCTTTTCCGATTCATTTTCATGACTAAGTAGATGTCACAGATAATAAGTTAGAGATATGTATACCAGTTGTGAACCTTACCTGATAACATTGAGTAGATTGACCATCCTAGGAATAAACCACAGACTGCTCTTCTGAGATTTTAGTGTGTGTAGCTCCCATTTTATTGATTTGGGGGACTAGGGTAGATCTATGCCATGCTAGTGGATTACAATCCTATCTTATCTGTCTTTCAGACCATAAGAAAATATTAATGTACATAGGTAGTATCTCTGGGGGTGTGTTTGTATATATACATACATATATATCCAGCCATATGACACCAGTGCAATTATGGTATAGTTCTAACCTCAGTGATATTTGATAAACTATTTTTAAAGTCCATTTTCTGTTTTATCCTCATTTGCCATCTATTCATTTGCGACATTTATTCACACCAGCAATCTGAGTGAAATAGAAAGTCGACTTCCGAAAGCAAAGCTGATAACTCTGTGCAAACATGAGTCTATCCTGAAATGGATGTGTAACTGTGACCATGGGATGTACCAGGCTTTGGTGGAGATTCTCATCCCCGACGTCCTTAGACCCATTCCTAGTAAGTTAAATGGAGACAACTACGGATGCTTTTGTTCTCATACATACCACCCAAGAAATTCTGGGGATTGATGTTACAATCAGCAATGATCCTAGTTTCATTTAAATTTGTCAAATAAAAAACATGCAGCATATAGAATCTTGCATGAAAAGAGCCTGTGTGACACTATATGAAGGGGAAATGAACTGTTTTCTAGTCTTTTCATTATTATTATTTTTAAAAGTCAACCTACAGCTATGACACCCTCAATAAACTAATTGCAAGAACATTATTACTTCAGTCAACCGTACAAAATTATTCTACTCAAAGTCAAAGCCCTCTGCATATAGCCAAAAAATATCACAATCTCTACCTGCCAGCCATTCTCTTTCATGGTTGCTTAGGATTTGAAATGGATTGATTGTGGTTTCCAGTAGAGTGGAATTCCTTTATAAAAGCATTTACTCTGTCACATGTACCATCTTCAGAGCTCCTAATTCAGTTTCCAATAACACTGATGGTTAACTAGTGTTTTGAGAGAAGACTCTAATAACTGCACAAGCATTGTGCCCCACTATGAAGTGAATGGGAACTGTGTAAATCATTGTTTACTTTTTTCAGTAACCTTGTTGTAGCAAACAAAGCTTTCTCTGTAGTTGGTGGTGTAAATGCCACTACATATTGTTAGAGGCTGTTGGAACTACTTTGTACCTATACCTGGATGAGCCATACTAGTGACCTTAACTTTTAAAAGAAATGGGACTGTTTCCATCTGACATTTAAAGCAATCTTTTAGCTAGTGACATTGGAAGTATGTACTTTAAATATACTATTCACATTTATTTGTTACATTATTGTGGAAAACATAGAGTTTAGTAGAAGGAAAAATGAAGATATTAACATTTGTATGTTTATACTTATAAATACAAAAACACAAGGGAAGATATAAATTCTTTTATGTATTCATTACCCTAAAATAGATGCTTATACACATTTACATATTATGCCAATCAATGTACATTAATATATGGAGGAGAAAGTAAAAACAAAAGAAATCCCACTGGCATTATCTTAACACTTTATAAATTGCTAATGCGTTCCACTCTATCTACACCGGGTTACCTGACTAAAAAGATGATAAAAATTGATATTGTCACAGAAAATTTCACCATGTCAATTTCCACTGGTATTTGTTCCAGAATTTGTTCTTTTTTTTTTTTTTCTACTCTCCTGCTCCTTGTGCTGCGAGTGTTAATCTCTAGAGATATTTAAAAAGAAGTTGCATGGGCTAACTCATTAGCCTATGACATCTGGCTACCAACATGCAGTTTTTTCTCCTGAGACACAAGGAGGGTGTCAGGGAGCGCTCGCTTTTTCGAGGCAAGTCAGCAGCATCAATATTCATTCAACAATTCAGAAACCATGTGCTTTGGTCTTAGCATCATACAAATTTAGCAGTTCCCTCACTTAAATCATGCATCAGTGTTGGTTTACTTTAAGCCTTAGAATTTTAAGTATAGAATACACTTGCCCTTTGTCTTTTGAAAAATGTCATTAGAAAAAACAGTTAATACTGTCAAGTAGTTTGTCGCTACATTCACCAGAAAATGGAATCATTTTATTTCTCTAAAATTACAAGATACATTAATGTACTACTCTACAAAAGAAATTTGGGGAATTTAATTTCTATTTTACAATGAGGCTCAACAATGTAATGCTTAAAATATGGTGTGGATAGCTATTGCTGGGTTATGTGCTTTTTAATACTGATCTGGAGCAGGCTGAGGGAGCTCAGCTTTAGAATAGGTTTTTAAATATCAAACCATCCATTTATGAGTCTTTAGAAGCTGTCAGAGTCAGTCTGCACAATTTCGATTTTATATGAATCCCTACAGAGAGAACAAACTTAATTTTATTTTTAAAAATTGTATTTCTTGGCTACTAGTACTTCACTCTACCATTTTCTGTCCAGATGGGATTTCTTTTTTTAGCTAAAAAGTCTGCACATCGTACTAATTTAAAGTCAGCCTGAAACGCCTATATTCTAAAATACATTCCCCCGAAACATGGAAAAAGGAAATTAAGTGTGAATTACTGAATAAGATTTCAACTGGTACCACTTTAAATGGGCAACTGGGAATATAATAAAAGGTGGTCCAGAATATTATTTAGCATAAAAAGTAAATGCCTAAGCTTTTTAATATACACAGTGTACCTTTTCATATTATAATTTTCTTTCCATCAAGTTTGTCCAGATAAAATAGGGCATATATGAAATGCTTTAAAAATAACGTAAGAAGTTATTGGGGTCTTTTCAAATTAAATCATTATTATACTAAAGATAGAACAAAATGAGAAATATAGATTGCCAACTTGAACCTTGAACAAGATTTTACTGAGTTTCAAAACAAGGCTGTTAATTTTTTTCACTCCTTTCATTTCCATTCATGCCTGTACTCCATGATTCTAGTACATAACACAACAGAAAGATGTGTTTCTTTTTTTTTTTCTCTTTTGACTAAGATGGTATGCTTTGGAGATTTTGAAAGATTTCCTCTCAAGAAATTTCTAGTTAAGCCTCATTAAGAGTCTGCATTCTTTCCCAATCAATATTTAGGCAATTTTAGCCTCTACTATCCAGTTAAATAAGTTTTAAAAAAACTCAGTTGTTTTATTATTGGGGTGTTAAATTTTGTATCTTTTTGTAAGTAACTTGACTACACTAAATTTCCCTCTAAAACCTGTTTTGGCAAAAGTAGCAAGTAAAGACGGTCGGACCCACTTGAGCATAGAAAGGATAGCCCAAGACTTTGGTCCTGCTGTATGTTCTTGGGGGCAGCTGGCCAAAATAGAACTTCTTTCTCACAGTATATCACAGATCTGGGTATCTACCAGATGTATGGAACCTGTAGAGAGTAGTTTTGTGTTATGGGTGCTTTAAATATTCATTACACACCTAAATCTACTCCCCACAGTGTGTAGTCCTGGGCACAAAGGAATTAAAAGACCACTGACTGGAGGACACACAAGCCGACTTAGTGAGCAGCTCCCTTTTAACAAAGCTAACAATGATGACTGAAGATGTTTCTGGTCATTTCGTGACCACTATAAAGTTCTGTTATGAGACCTGTCCCCATTTCAGGCTTTAACAAATTAAGATTGGCTATTTTGATAATGTCTTAGTAACATTGCTCTCTGTGACAGCAATTTTATCACACTGATCTTTTAGCTCCTACATGTGAAATTGGAATAGGCATCTGAAAAGTTTACTCCGACAATTATTTTTCCTCTATTTTCAGCAAAGATAAATACTCCAATTCATAGGTTCTATGGTAAAACATTGAATAGAGAAAAACAAAACTTTGCACTGTGTTTCATTTTAACTAACAATGTAAAATGAGATTGTTTGAAACCAAAATGGAAATTCTTAGCCCTTGATCACAAAACTCTTCATGATGTTTTGTCCAAGGTACAAATCCCCATAACGTATATTCACAACTGGTATATGTTGCCATGAACAGAAAGATTTGAATGTTTGCATTTTCCAACAGGTGTCATCAGTGTCTGAGAACCAAATAGTTTTAAAAGCCAAAAAGATTACTTTTAGATGCTTTAAGAAATTAGAAATAATGTTACTTTTTAATCAATGAAGATAATATAAATTCTGCTCTGTGATATAAAAGTAGTATAAACATATATTTCCCTTGTTCCAGCATAAAAATTAATGGTCTTGGGTATCTTTATTGTTCTGCCTTTTTTTTTATTATTTAGGTGCCTTGACCCAAGCCATTCGAAATTTTGCAAAAAGCCTTGAAGGTTGGCTTTCAAATGCCATGAACAATATTCCACAGAGAATGATACAAACCAAGGTATGGTTATGTCCTTTGGTGGTGGTAGTGGGGCACACGTGTGCTTGCTTAAGAAACTCTCTCTTCAAGTAATTTTTTTCTCATAACAGATCTTCATATATAAGTAACCCAATATTGTGCAGAGCTAGCATATGGATGTTATAGTTCCGCTGTTCTTTATCCTCGAGGATCCTAGATTACACATTACCCCTTTCTAGCATGATACTTTAGGTTTATCTGTGAGCATATGCCCATGGCAAGATTGGATAGAGACTTTACTTTCGTTTTGTTGCTTAAATTCACACTTGTGGCTTTTGGATGTATCCACCATTAGACTCCAACAGTGTATCTTTTCCTTTGTTTGGGGTGCAATGTTACTCTGTTGAGGTTCCTGTAGCCAGAAAGTCTCTTTGGAGCCACAAGGAGCTCCAGTTCTTTCTACCTTGGTTTAAGCTTTGCACACTGGAGGCTGAGACAGGAGGACCATGAGTTCAGTCTAGCCTGGGCTATGTAAGGAGCTCAAGGAGAGCCCAAGTTACTTAGTAAGACCCAGAGGCTAGGAAAGTAGCACAGTGGTAACATGAATAAAGCCCTGGGTTCTAGTATGAAAATCACAAAAATAAAAGATTTTATTTGATTGTGACTGAAGAATCATTCCAATTTATAAAATCAGTTCTATTCCTAATAATACCTCAAATAGCTGAAATCACTCCCCTTCTCGGTGTCATCAAAGTGAGTGCCATAGCAGATTGCCTGCAACATTGGCCATTTTGCTGGTTTTCAGAAATAGTCTGCATATTTACCATTGCAGAATATAACTTGTGCTCTTCTGCTGTTGCTGATATGTAGTTGTGTTTCTGCTGAGTTCTCAGTCACTGAGACAGTTTACCCAGCTTAGGGAAGAGCTTCCTAGTCTGTGGTAATAGTACTAAAATGGATGTGTTCAAATCTTACCACCTAAACAACTTTCTGTGCAACCTGGCTCAAGGTATTTAACCTCTCTGATTCCTAACATGTTGACAGTTGAACAGTGTGAAATATATGAGACACTTAACCTGGTGCCTGGTATATAATATGTACTCAATGTATATAAACCACAAAAATGGAAAAACATTTTCTCTTCTAGGGTATGTGAGCTTGCTCAAATATTTCATATAGTCCTAATACATCTCACTTTTAAACGAGTCAACACATTATTCTACACAACCAGCTGATTCTTCAAATATATGCTTCCTATGTACCCATAAAAACTCAATATAATATGGTGTATTCCTATAAATATGCTAAGGCTTTTGGCATATTTTTAAAGACTGTGGTCATATCTACTGTGTATCTAACATTTCTATGAAAATTAGATATTTATTTAGAGGGTTTTTTTTCCATTATCTTTGATATCTTCCAACATAAGCTAACTCATTCAGTATCTCATTAAAAAAAAAAGTGTTCACCTGCCAGGGTGATAGAGCTCAGTGGTAGAGCACTTGACCAGCATGCCTGAAGTCCTAAGTCCAATCCATTAGTGTAGTGGAGGAGAAGAAAGAAAAGAAACAAGAAGTTTAAGTGAAGGGTACGTGAAATAACTGAATTTATTTCTAAACATGCAAACAGAGTTGAGAAAAACCAATGCTTAAGCATCCTGCAGCTAGCAATGAGAACTTCTCAGCAAATCTAGGTCTGAAATAGGTAAGGGATGAATGTGGTCGCTTTACTGAACCTCCTTCTGAGTTTCCCAGTGGTAGCCTTAGAAAAGAGAAGAGCATAGCTTGTGAGGAGTACACACTCTGACCGCCGCTGTCCAGTGCTTCTCTCGCCTAGCAATGCCCGTTCCTGATTGGTTCATCCAGCTAGAAGCTTGAGGGCAAAGGGGGCACTCATGTCACCCCTGCAGCCTTTCTGACCACCGAGGATGATGGAGATAGGGGATTTTCCAAGAGTAAATGGAAATTTCCCACATAGCCCACTTAAAGAAATGTAAATCCTAAAGAAAGAGTTCTGCTGCTTGTGCTCTGACAAATGTACTTGGGCAGACAAACTTTGAAGTCCCATGTTTCACCATCACATCTGCCCACTTGTAAACTCAAAGTCGTAATGGTGAGACTGAACAGCACGGCTCTGAAAGTATTTTTTGTTCAATTAACAACAATAAATCTGTACAGTTTGCTTTTCTAGATAAAAAGGAATGTTCTTACTTGCCTAGTTTCTAGTTGTCCTAAAAAGAGTAGGGGGTCATGAAAGCAAACATTTCCCTACTTTTTTAGACAATGTAATTTCTTGTTGTGGTTGTGTAATTAACTTCCAAGACTACCTTCATGATTGCTGCACTCAGAAAAGTGTGGGAGCTTGTTTTAGTGTTGCTTGCCCTCAATATATTCAAAACCAAATAATTCTTTAAGAATTTTAAATTTTAAATTCTATATAATTTATGAGTAAACTATTACCGAATGAATTTGAATGTATCTAAGAAAAGCTGTTAACTTTGAAGTATTTGAAGGTTGCAATAGTTTCTTCTATGAGAAAGCAGGCGGGGGCAGAAAAATGAAAAGACACTCCACCCCAGCCTGCTTGGGTTTCTGTAGGTTGCCGCTGTAAGTGCCTTTGCCCAGACTCTGCGAAGATACACATCGCTCAATCACCTGGCCCAGGCAGCCCGCGCCGTACTTCAGAACACTTCCCAGATTAACCAGATGCTCAGCGACCTCAACCGCGTTGACTTTGCCAATGTCCAGGTACTTTGCCTCCTTGCAAATCCTGTCTTTTAAAGAATGGTGTCAGTTATTCTAAACTAGGACCTGATGCATGCAGTGGCCTCCTCATGGTTCATAGTCTCCTCAAAGATGGGGTTTTACCCTGATCAGACTAAACTGAACCCCTTTGTTTTAGGGATAAAGTCAGCTAAGTTTTATGAACTAGTAGGCAACAGAATACATCCATGTTTGCTGAAAACTTAAAAGGATAATAAATATCAGAGTCACTGAAGTTAGGCAAAAAATTAGACTATTCTATATCTGTGAGAATTTGAACAACGACTTAAGTGCTCTCTATTTCATTTTCCCAGCTATAACTACTACCATAGGTTGTTTAAATAGTGGTCTGTACCCTGTCAAGCAGATACTTCTTTTATAACAGTAACCCACCTTGAAGAGCTAAGCACCTCTATTGCAAAGTACATTGCAGATACCTGAGAAAATTCTTTCACTTAAAGAATTAATTTGAAGTAAGTCTGGACAGTTTGGTTCAAATAAAAAAAATATTTTTTTTCTAACTCTAGTTGCTCTGTACTTTACACTTGGAAATGACTAATGTAGGTTCCTTATGGAAGTCTAACAAATACTTTATTTATGATTCTAAAATAACAAAGTTAGTTGTTACTATATAAAAATTATAACACCCCTGACATAAAATATAAGCTACAAAGTAAAAAAATGCATAATTCAACACAATCCAAATTTAAAACTTTTGGAGTTAACAAGAGACTACATGACAAAAAGTAAAAAGGCAATGCAAAGAATGTCAGAAGCTCATCTTGTAAATACTCCATACATAAAATAAAGAGCTACCCTGGAACCCATTAATAAAAAGCCACCTGATTTTAAAATGGCAAATAGACAAGTGCCCAATAAACACATGAAAGGATTCTCAGCATTGGCCACCAGGGAAACAGGAGTTAAAACCACAAGGAAATAGCACTAGATGCACACTAAAATGGATGTGATTGAAGACAGAAAATATCAGATTTGGTCCCTGGAGAACTGGAGAAATTAGCACTTCATGAACTGTTGAGGGGAATGCAAACTGCCATAACCACTAAGGCAGTCTGGCATCTCTTCAAAAAGACAAATATAGACTCATCATGTGACTGAGCAGCCCACTACTTGGCACATAGCCAAGAGAAAGGAACATGGCCATACAAGTTGACCAATTGTGTAAAGTGCTTGGACTGGAATGTTTGTGTGTTCTTGAGATTTTTTTAATATTTACTAGACTTTACCACATGATTATTCCTAAAGTCTGTACTCTAAAATGTTTCAAAACACAAAAGTTTTGAGCATACAACACTCTGTGTATACTTCAGATTTTGGATTTTCAGAGTAGAGATCCTCAATCTGTACTTCAATGTTCATAGCATTATTGTTCAAATTAGACAACCCAGGGGTCCTTACCTGATAACCGAACATGTGCTTTATCTGTACAGTGGACCGTTGCTGGGCAGTTGAAGGAACTTCTGAAGCCTTGATTGAGCCTCGGAAACATGTTAAATGAAGGGAAGTTGTTACATGCTTCCATTTATAGGAGATGCCTAGCTAGACGTTAGAGGCAGAATAGATTTCTGACTGGGTAGGACTAGGTAGGATATTGCAGAGAATGAGAGATAACAAATACAATGGGTACAGGACTTCCTTTTGAGAAGAAGTATACTTTAAGTAGGTAAATTGTACAGTGTGTCTTTTAAAATCATTACTCTATTTATAAGAAATTTATTCTCCACAACATGCTTTATTATTTATATTACATAATAATATTTGAGCTTCACTCATTTATAGTAGAATAAATCAGCTGTTTTCATTGTGGTTTTAGGAAATAAGCTCATGTTTCTGATTCTTAATTTTTCAGTCTCTTTTTCATATATCCAACCATCTACCTACCAGCGGTCTGTATACAAATAAACATACTCGTGTGCAATCGTATAACCTTTGCAAGAATGAACAGTCTTGGATTTATAAAATGGTCTGAGTATGTCAATAAGGTTACAAGGTTACAATAACTAATTTACCAAAATTATTAAGCAATCATATCACCTTAAAATCTATACTCTAATATTTACTTCAGATCTTCATTTTGAAAAGATGTTTAAAAGTACCTTAAGGAAAGTTGAGGTAAAACAATCTTGAAGTCAGAATAATAAGACAACTTCAGTTTCCAGTTGTTAATTCCAACTTGGTAACAGAAATTTTTGTAAAGAATTATTTATTTCAATATCTGAGAAAGTGTAAATTGTTCTTGTTTTAACGTTGATTTATCTGTCCTCAACCCTGGCTTCATGATTTTTGTACTGAATTGAATTTGTATACAAACGAACCCACTCACTGGTTAGAAACATCTCTCTTAAGGACATCATTGTATAAAAATAGTCAACTACACATCCACTTGCACAGCAACTTTGACTACTCTTGGTCTTCCTTTGTTGTCAACTGTCAAGTTTTTCTGTGCCCATCGTGACAGTCATTAGTACTGGAACCTGTATAATTCAGGATCAGTCCTCCAAATCATCTTTCCTTTCCTCAGAGGATCACAAATATAATGGTGAGCCATTCAGTTCAGCCTACACTTTCCTTCTGTACCTTCTAATGACTACCCAAACGGCACAGTTCCTTTTTACCTTACTTTCATCTTTATCTCTTCCAAGCTTTGACAGGCTTCTCTAGTGTGCCCAGCTTCCCATTCCTTCTTCATGACCTTTTCCTATCATTTGTAACTTGTCCCTGCCTCTTCTAAGATGAATCTCAGTAAGACTGACAAATAAAAGGATAAAACTCTTGCAATAAAGAAACTTTGGTTTGAAACAACTTCCAAGTGTTATTATTAGAGCATGCCAAGACCTTGGATGTTCTGTTTTTGTGTTAAATTGAATATGTCTACAAATGAGCCCACTTGCTGGTTAGTAACATCTCTCTTGAGGACATCTTTGTATATAGTCAACTACACATCTACTACTTATCTTACACAGCAACTTTAGCTACTCTTTGTCTTCCTTTGTATTGACATACTCAGACCATTTTATAAATCTAAGACTTCCTTCCATAAATCTCTTTGCACTGTTTCATCCTCTTCTCAACAAATGGTTTTGCATTTCAAGACTTTTTTTTCTATTGCAGTTTAGTTGGCTTTCTTTCTCATTTAACTGATAGTCTTAGGATGGTATTGTTTCTAAGTGTTCTGTGTAAATGGATGAGTTTTCATCTACATTATGAATTAGTAGGTTCGGATGGTCTTACCTATCATTGACTACTTGAGTTCTTTCCTGCCTGCCTGCCTGCCTTCCTGCTTTCCTACCTTCTTTCCTTTCCTTCCTTTTTTGTTTTTTGAGACACAGTTTCTCTGTGTAGCTCTTGCTGTCCTGGAACTCACTCTGTAACCCAGGCTGGCCTTGAACTCAGAGATCCGCCTGTCTCTGCCTCCTGAGTACTGGGATTAAAGGTGTGCACCACCACACCCGGATACTTGGGCTTCTTTATTGAAGATACAGTCTGATTTTGAACTTCCTTACTATGTACCGTGTTGGATATTATTTTTGTATAAGTTAAGAACACCTTCAGATGTTTGTTTTATGAAGTAAGCCATTGTTAGTGTGAACTCTGTAAGCTGTAGGGTGTGAAGAGTGGTTTATGGAGCTGTGCTCTTATTTCTCAAATTAGGTTTTAGATTATCATCTCATCTTGCCTAAAGTAATTTTCATGTAAATAGTGAGTTCGAATTGTTGATAAGAAGTGAAATTCAGTTTTGGTGCACGCCTTTAATCCCAGCACTCGGGAGGCAGAGCCAGGCGGATCTCTGTGAGTTCGAGGCCAGCCTGGGCTACAGAGTGAGTTCCAAGAAAGGTGCAAAGCTACACAGAGAAACCCTATCTTGAAAAACAAACAAACAAACAAACAAACAAACAAAAAAGTGAAATTCTTCTGTGTGTATCAGTACAATCCTTTTTCTAGAGCCAGCATAAACAAGAACAAGCTCCTTCACATGGAGCACAGAATCTTTCATTTGCACAAGACTCTAGAGCTCTAATGCTCCGAACAGTCCATCTATTTAACATCGCTCTACCATATACAGAGGAAGGGTCAAAAGAAAATTAAAACAAAACAAAAAAAAAGCTTAGATGTTGGGGCAGTGGGGGACCAAAACCCTCTCCTGGTTACTATTGTAATACTTAACTTACCTGGGTACTCAGGGATTCTTTAAGTTGATACAAAATTTCTGGGAACCATTTGCTACTATTAAAAGATCTTAACTGTTCTTATAAAAATCTATTATACAGAAATAAGTGAAAATATGAGCAAAATGTAGTTAACAACATAGCTAATTCAAACTTTATACTAGTAAGAATTTAGAACAAATGTTCAGCTGTATGAAATTGGTTATACAAATAATAACATATTCATGCAATGAAACAAGTTTATTAGTGAGCAATAAATATAGCTCCATATTCATCTATCTGGGAAAGTAGACAAATTATCATTGTTAAGCAGAATATTGAGTAGAATACATGATATTTATTATATTTATATTAAAACTATATATGTATATGCATGAATGACAAAATGTAAATTAGCATGAATAAAGGAGTAATGTAAATGTAAACAGAATACAAATAATATAGCACATATACTATGTTATATATGTTTAAAAAACTTAAAGTATCCTTCAATGTATACATGCATAGCCATGTATTGTAGCTATCTTGGACTTCTGCCCTCATATTCTTTTATTGTCTTTTTTATTGATATTTTTCTATAATTGTATTTAGTCTATTTAAACTATTTACAAGTAGTGTTTAAGAGGTAGCATCTAAAAACAAAGATAGAAGATGCTATCATCAGCTGAGATGTGGAAGAAAGTAGGTTTCCCTAGAAAAATAGAGTGATTGATGTGGATGCAGTTTGCCTTTGAAATGTCTCTAAGAATAAACGACCCTGATTGTGTAAAGTGTGTAGGGTCAGCAGAGATCCTAGAACTGGAAGGATGGGATTAGAGATATATTGATTTGAAATTGTCAATTTGAATCAACTTGACCTCTAAGATAACATAGAATTAAGGCTACAGACAGTGTTTTCATGAAAATATCAACATATTCTATGTTTTTGTATTGGAACTTTACAGACTTCAAAGAAAGTTCTCTTAAAAATTATCATAATGAATCCCACTTAAAAACTCTCAATTCTCATTTGTTCGATTTTGTGCATAGGAAACTGAAGCCCACACTGATCTAATTAATTGTTTTAACTTAGTTGGGCAAATTGGGACCTGAGCATGCCTTTTAATTGTCTGTCATAATATGTTGCCGAATAATTAAATTTTGATACTGAGAGAAGAGATTTCTATTCTTTTAACCTTAAAATACGGCACATCACTAGAAACATCATAGAACTTACACAATCACTGAAAAGTAACTTTCAAAGTTTCTATTTTCATTGTTGTTACAAAACTTGAAACTTCCCAACCAGAAGCAGAAGGGAAATTACAGTAATCAGGTTTCTTGGCAGGTAGCACGTCTACATTTTCTCAAAAGAGGTTTTGTTGTTGTTGTTGTTTTCAGTTCTGTGAATTAATTTGCATTTGTTGGTTTGCCTTGATAGCCCTTGAGATTTCTGTTCCCAATCTATAAACTCACACAGCATATGCTTCTACCTAGTACCATTCAGCGTTTGTTTTTGTTTTAATCTTTAGGGACCACTTTTGGCCAATTGAATCCATTTATTCCTCTGACTTACTCTAAGTCTTGTAAAATGGTTTTACAGTTTCATGTGATGGGTGGGGAAACTTAGAAGCAGTGTGGAAACAGGACAGGGCAGGCTACTGGTTCACACCTCTGGCTTCCTTACCATGCTAGTATCTCACAAGACCTCGCCACAGTAGAAAACCAAGTCACAGTTAAATACTGCTTCAGCAATGATCAAGGAGAAGTCCTAAGCCCTGAAGATGACAAAGGCATGGGTGCCTATTGTTCATGTCCGGTCCATGATTCATTCATGTCCCCCACTGAAGCTTTCTGTGCGACACCCTGCATGTGCCTTGTGCTGATTCTCAGTGAGAAACTGCCAAGTTGAATTTTTGTTTCTATCTGTGACCTGTCCCAGGAGCAGGCTTCCTGGGTGTGCCAGTGTGATGACAACATGGTTCAGAGACTAGAAACAGACTTCAAGATGACGCTTCAGCAGCAGAGCACACTGGAGCAGTGGGCAGCATGGCTGGACAATGTGATGATGCAGGCGCTGAAGCCCTATGAAGGAAGACCCAGCTTCCCTAAAGCCGCCAGGCAGTTTCTGCTCAAATGGTCTTTCTACAGGTAGCACCCCAAGATCACTAAGTTGTCTTCATGTTCTGCAAATGTGTGTGTGTGTGTGTGTGTGTGTGTGTGTGTGTGTGTGTGTGTGTGTGTGTATGCTACTCACATAAAAAAAGAAACAAGCTTAGATTTGGTGGAATATCCAACTCTATGACTATGATGCATAGAGACTAAGCAGGAAATTGATGAAAATGAACTATTTTGCTGGGAAAGGAGACCCTCTTGCTCAAAGCCAAGAAGTTTTCAGATAGTAATCTCTGAGAGTCCATCTAGAATAGCAGTTCTCAACCTGTGGGTTACTACCCCTTTGGGGTCTAAAGACTCTTTCACAGGTAGCCCTTAATACCATCAGAAAACACAGATATTTACATCTGATTCATAACTGTAGCAAAATTACAGTTATGAAGTTGCAACGGAAATAATTTTATGGTCAGGGGTCACCACAACATGAAGAACTGTATTAAAGAGTTGTGGCATTAGGAGGGTTGAGAACCACTGCTCTGGATGATGTTTTCAGCAATAGTCAGAAAGCGTGGCTGATCCTCCCTCTACTCCTACCTTATTGAGGTACCTTCTGGTGGGGTTATGACTATTATTCCTTTGTTCTCTTTTCAATGGCCCTCAAACTGTAGTCACTAGTCCATGACCTCACATCCACTTAGACTCATTATAAATGTGCATCAGTAGGCTACTTCCCAAGTCTACTTGTGTCAGAATCCATAGAGGAAAGGCCTATCAATCTGAGCTTTGAAATGCCCTGGGTAATTCCAGTTCACTCAGAACTACTTAGTTAATTTCTTAATTCTGTCAATTGTCAGAGAGCAGAATATATCAGAGAGCTATCAGAGAGCAGAATTTATATGTTCTTTTTAACTTTTGATTACTTCTGAGACCCAGTGACTCATTTTCTTCATGGTTAGGAGGTAGTAGTTAGGGGTCAGACACTTTGTGGTGATTATATTGCATGGTTAGTATCTAATAGGTAATAACATACATGTCTTATTGATAATGAATCTTTAGACTAAAATACTTCATATGGAAAAAATACATATTTTTGTAGACATAGAAGCACCCCTAAATAGAAAGGGCTTACTAATTATATGATACATAATGGCAAATTTGGAATGAGTTGTTGGCACCAAATCTACAACAGGATTTGAAAAGCACATTTATGAGCTATATTGATTAAGATTTGTGCCATATTTGTGTAGGATGGAATGGTCAGATGGATTCCAGCATGGAATCTATGTCAGGGACAAATTATACCTCTCAGGAGATACAGGTTTTAGGCCCAAGTCAGTGAGATCACCCTGAATAAAGAAACAAACAAACACTTGTATTTTTACTACAGGATCAAATGCCAATGTCAAAAATTTAAATTATCTAACTTGTCTTATGAAATAGGAGTCCATCTGTCATATAATTCAAAATTCTAATTTGGAAATATATGTTCTTCTTTTTGTTGTTGTTTTCGGTTTTTGGCTTTTTTGAGACAGAGTCTGTCTACATAGCCCTGAATTTCCTAGGACTCACTCTCGAGTAGACCAAGTTGACCTTGAGCTTGAGCTCACAGAAATCAACCTGGCTCTGCCTCCTGAGTGCTGGGATTAAAGGCAGAATATAGTTTCTTGATTGCTTGAGAGTCAATATTTCATTCATCTGAATTTTCACAGAAAATAATATAAGTGATATGTGTGCCCGTGACCAGTGGCTGGAACATCACTTACATTGCCTGACTCTTTCCAAATCTCACATGACCAAAGGCAGAGTGCCCAACCTCACACAGCAGTGAAAGACAGATGCCCAACCCCTTCCTATTGTGTTCTGTGGTAGTGGCTGCCTTGCCCTTACTTCTCTCTGTGGGTTCCCCCCCCCCCCCCCCCCGCATTTAGTTGACATCGTTTTAGAAATACACCCCTGGAGCCTTTGTCACCACAGAGATCTATTGCAGGAATTCTGAAAAGAAAGAAAATTACTTGCTTGTATTTCGTGTTCTCTGCAGATACACAAGCCCAGTAGATCATCACTCGCCCGCCCTCTGTCCTCCCTGAGTTGGGGATAATTGGCTTGATATTATTAGACACTATTATGGTTACTATTTTCATTTCAAAAAGATTTGAAGGCTTACAGTTGAGGGCCACAGAGGAAAGAGACATTTAAGCAGATGCATACTGCCTGCTGGTAGGCAGAGTAATATCTGAACCGTTTTTTACTGAGGCATGAGAACATGTTGAGTAATGAAAACTGATGCGTAAATCCTCAGAGAAGCAGAAGAAGAATTCTTACGTTTTTAGCATTGTAAATGTAAATTGTAAATTTGCAAGGGATATCATAAATTTGACAACCACATATACAGTTCCTTCTTGTTTAAAAGCCAGATATTTAATCCAGTGATTTCTAAACTTGTGTTTGCATTTACCTACCCAGACACATAGAAACAAACTGGCAGTCTCACAGCAGTTGACACATAGCTTCGGACACACTCCGCTCCATCTAGAGGTGTCTACTTAAACTAGCTTTCAATGGCTGGTGTCAATTTTGGAAAACCCAGAAATGAAAATTTTATATGGACTATTTCTTCTTCTCTGTGCTGTATGAATAAGACAAGACCACATTCTTGGTAACTGCAGTGAAGGTCATCAATCATTCCTGGTATATGTGGTGGGGAAGGAGTTGCTACAATTAAAACTAACTTTGCTCATTGTCTAAATTTCTAGAATTAGAACTATATTGTTCAGTGAGCTGACATTTTGATAAATACTGCCCCATTCCTTCTATAGAATCCTTAGGAACACTTGTAGAAACAGTAAAGTTTGTTCTCCCCCCCCCCCCCCCCCCCCCCCCCCCCCCCCGCCCTCCAGACTATAATACGGTCTCATAGTGCAATAGGTAACAGGTGTTCTCTTTAATTTGAATGTGTTTACTTTTGAATTAGGTTAATTTTATATTTGTGTCTTTGTTAGCTACCTGTCATTCCTGGAATGTATTTTAAATAGCTACCGTCTTTGTTCAGCAAGATGGATGGAGTTATAAGTGACTACTCTACCCTTGGATTACTTTTAAAGATTACTCACTTTGAGTTGAATGTTATTAGACATTTAATCATTATTTTACATTGGTTTGGGGGTTTTGTTTGTGTGTGTGTGTGTGTGTGTGTGTGTGTGTGTGTGTGTGTGCTTTAAATTTTTCCCATGGAAAAAGAAATATTTACTTTTAAAAAATTACTATTTTACATGCTTGTAAATTATTTTACAAGTGGATGATGATGTACCATTGAATTTTAGAGATTTGGCACATAAGTGAAGCTATTCTTCCATTTGTAATAATTCATTTATGCATTAGAGTTATAAACATTTGAGGAGTGTTTTAAGATATTTCATTGACACAAAGAAACCATTACCTGGAACTGTTTATTGTAATGAATATACTTTTAACTGTAGTATATTCAGTACTGTGGTAATGACCCAATTTGTTAAGATCCCACATATGTTAGGTACCCCAACCTTTATGGCTGGATCCTGGAAACCTTACTGGGAGTCATGGGAGCTTAAGAAAGACAGACCCAAGTAACTGAGAGGTGTGTTTGGGTGGACTGTACACTCAGATGCAGACATACCAGTAGCCCAGATACTCAGCATATTCTTTATATACATCCTGAAGGAGGAAGGGGTCTCTGTATGGGAGCAGTCTCAGGGAACATGAAGTTATCTGGGATGAGGAAGCTGTGCTTAGTATTCTTTGCACATACTATTTTTAGCTAAAGGTCAATAGTTAGCTAACATCTGTACTCAGACTACAGGAAGGCCTTGCCATTCCCTGAGCCTGACCCAGGAGGGTCTTGCTGTTTCCCCTGAATCAGAGACAAGGAAGGCCTTGCCATTCTCCTGAGCCTGAGGTAGCATTCTTGACGTGGCCATTCTCATGTCATGACTGCTCATTCTTACTGGAGTACACTTATCTACCTTATCCATGAGGGCTATATTCCAGCATCTCAGTAGATGCCTGAACCACCAATATTACTCAACCTAAGGTATAACGCCTTGACACCTTGATGTCAGCACTTATCACAAGTTATGACTGTACCTTTTGCAGTTTGAAGTGTGACAACAAACCTAGAATGGATTTATTTCCCTTTGTCTCAGTTGCACAGATAGAAGATACATTCTTACTATCAGTCACATCTCAGAATTCAATATTTTTTTCCCTAAAGGCAACAACCTTCACCTTCTTGCTTAAGGGGCCATTTTCTAGTAATTTGGTATACTCACTCCCCAACATCACTGTTCTTGCACTCTGGGACATTTATACAGCTTGGACTTGCTAGGCAGAAAGATGAGCTGCATCCCAGGTGGCAGGAGCCAGAAAGTAAATTTCATCACTCTGTGCAGAAGAACATGTGGTCTGAAACTTGTTGATTATTTCTGGAATTTTCATTTCATATTACTAGACCGCAATGCCTGAAACCAAGAAAACCAAAACCATAGATACAGGGAACGACTATGTGTTGTTTCATTTGACTCTTAGACTAACTTTTAAGCCTTAAAAATGGTTCTGTGGTTGTAGACAAGATTACAAAGGCCACCTGTAACTACACACATAGGAAGCTGAGGCAGGTAGATTGCTAGGATTTCAGTCTAAGCTACATAATGAGATGTGGGCCAGCCTGGATAAACAGTGAGGCCCTGGTTTGGTTTTTTGTGTGTATTTGTTTTAAGGCATATGATAAATAGGTCTAGTTAGACATCCAAGCTTTACTTTTTCTTCTGTTTGTACAATGATTTAAAAAAGTAAATGAGAAGTCTGCTGTCCATATAATGATCTTCATTCTTCTATAGACAAATTACAAATAGCATGGTTTGTTGTGTTATAAATAAACATAATAAATTATATTTGTTGCATTCTATTTATTTATAAGTTGTTTTTATATTCTTTTATATTTATTTATATTCATTTTTCCCTTAAAATAACTGTGTAAGTTAGCTAAGACTAAAAACACTGCTTTCATTTTCTCTAGAGAAAACAACCTCAGGGAAATTGCCTATTTGTGGTTAAGCGTCAAGTAGCACACAGCCAGCATCAGAACCCAGAGCTTCTGTCTTCAGCTGTCACACCTCGTGATCTGTCACTTGCCAAAGTGAATGTATAGAACCTGATGTGTTTAAATCTGTCTTTACAAGGTTGAAAAAATGAAGTGGAAAACAAAAGGAAAGCCCACTTACTATTCTTTTATTTGCCTGGAATTTTATAATTGGTCATTACAAAAATAAAGCTTTCATTTGTGACATTTTGCCTCTTCCTCCTGGGAATATAGTGACAGTTTTAGTATTTATCAGCCAAAAAGCTTTAGGAAAAGGCAAGTGAATAAAAACTGGTATAAAACATGCAAGCATAAATACATACATTGTTCTCAGTGTGAATCACAGATTCACAGCTATATTTGAAGTATAAAAGAAGCTTATTAGTTGATACATCTTTGGTAAAGCCACAGTTTTATTTGGACTTATTTATATTTTTAATATAAAAGTTTATTATTACTATTCTGTCAATATGGCTCATATTTGTATAATATATACATTAAATATTCGTGGTTTTTAAATTTAATCATTTCTTAATTCATCTATAATTCCCATCTCTAGTGGAGGGAAAATCACCTTAATTGAAATGAAAATCACCAAGAAACTGGAATCAATAAATTTACCTTTCAACAAAACGTGCTGGAATCCCACATATTCGCCTCCATTTAGACTGACGGTTCAGGGAACTTTGCTTCATATTTTTGTGTGAAATCGGGCAGAGAGTACACTCTAAAGATCATTGTCATTTAGAGATGACAAACTGTCACTCATCATCAAGAAGATGTTCAGTTTGAATTGATTTTCCTTATACCAGGGATGAGTCTCCAGCCTTTCTACAGCTGTTTCTGTTCAGTTGTGATCCTCTTGTGAGCACGATGGGAAAGGCAGACATACCTATAATAGTGCAGGGTCTTTTCTAATGAAGACCCACCTGGCTCTGGTGATGATCAGGCTCAAGCCTTAGTGAGAACAACCTCTTTCCCACCACTGAAATGAGTTGGGCCAACTGCTTTCAACAATGGAATTGTTCTATCGCAAGTTTTGTACTCTAAAGCCGTGTTTTCATGTAGTCTCCCGACTTAACTGCTTTTAGGAGTACTAATTATAACCTTGGTCACTAATTCCGGCTCATCTCTGCCCTTTCTCTTGAGCAGCTCCATGGTCATTCGGGACTTAACCCTGCGCAGTGCTGCTAGCTTCGGCTCCTTCCACCTGATCCGGCTACTCTATGATGAGTACATGTTCTACTTGGTAGAGCATCGTGTTGCTCAAGCAACAGGAGAGACACCCATAGCAGTGATGGGCGAGGTAAGAGGGGCTTCAAGAACTGAGTGGTACTGTTCAGTTTTTAATTACACTTCAAATTATGAATAAATGATCGACTAAAGCAGCGTCAGTCCCACAAGGAACTGGTTGTGTTTTTTAATCACAGAATTCTAAAGTTGAAGATTCTGTCATGTCAGTGGAATGTTTTGCTGCATTATATGTACCCACATTAAAAAAAAAGTTTTGAGAAACACAAGACTTTAAAAAAGAAGACCTATTGAGTAGGAGATAAGAAAGACCAATGCCTGTGATAAAGCTAAGGACCAAGGAAAACAAAACGAGTTAAATATGTAGTTTATGGGCCCTTCCCTAGTCTTCAGGAAGGAAATGGATGGTTTGGCTTCAGAAGGGCTGTGATGATGGCAATGATGACTGTGCTTTTTACCGTGCTGCAGGCATGGCTCTGCATCCTTTGCATATATGATAACACACTTAACTTATTACAGTCCTTTGAGATGAAGATCTCCTTTTCCCTGCTTTATCAGTGTGCATCGGAGGTTAATGCAGAGAACATGGGTACAGGAGAGTCAATGGTTCTGTAGCTAGTAAACACTGGAGACATTTTGCTAAACACGTAGTTTGATTTTCAAGCCCATGCCCGTGTCACTAACAGTGTGGGGGTGAGTTCTGTTTCTGGAATTTCTAGATAATAATAAAAATGGCTTATCCATACCCAGTGTCAGAAAGTGGTAATTCTTACAACAATATGAATGAGAATTAGTTAATATAATGAGCAATGGGTACAAATGTTGAAATAATTCAGTTCTGACTCATTTTATTATATTGAATTGAGGTACTTTTTTATACCTTAGTAAATTACACCAGGTCAGACATAAAATCACAAAATACCCAAAGCAGTGAAGATATTCATTTTTGACCTATGTGTATATGGTTAGGTTTTGGTTTTATTTGTTTGTTTGTTTTGAAACAAGAAAATAAGGGGAAATCACTCCGTGGGTAATACATTTGTTGTGCGAGGCTGAGGACCTGAGTTCAGATCTTCAGCACCCGTGTGAAAAGCTAGGCATAGTCATGTGCATGTGTTGTCACAGCACTGGGGTATTGGGGAACAGAGTCTTTGGGGGCTCACTAGCCAGCCAGTCTAGCTAATCAGTGAGCTCTAGGCCAGTGAGAAATCATGCCTCAAAAAATTAAGATAGACAGGTTAGTGGAAAACATCAGATGTTGACCTGGCCTACATAAACCCACAGACACACACACAGAGGAGGTGGGGGAGTTGTCAAAGATTAATACTGCTATTGCTGTTTAATAAACATAACAGTAAAAGAAATAAAATCATGAAAATACTTTAAGCACCTCTGTCAGTTCTACTGTAAACTGCAAGTATTCTAATATAAGTAAAATGTACATCAAATAGTCCATTTTAAAGTTTTTGTAAGTGTATGAGTGCTTTGCCTGTGTGTATGTCTGTGTACCACATGCATGCCTGGTGCCCATGGAAGCCAAAAGACAGTGTCAGATCCCCTGAGACTGGAGTTGTAGACAGCTGTGAGCTGTCATGTGAGTGCTGGAATGGAACCCAGGTCCTCTAGAAAAGCAACCATGCCCTTAATGGTCAAGTCATCTCTCCAGCCCTGAATGTCAGTTATTTTTAACATCATTTGTAATATTAATCTTTTTAGTTTTTTTTTTAAAAATGACTCCTTTGCAGTTTGCTGATGTGTACATTGTTGTATGATTGTGTTTAAATGATCCTGAAAAGATATGTGTAAGATGGAGCAAGAGCTGCTGTAGCTTTTAAATAATAGGCCATACAATCAGGGTTTGTCCTTTGCTGTAGCTGTATAGATGTCTTCTTATAAGACGCCCAGTTGGAATGGAAGATTTCTTGCCTTAGGGCTCAAGATTCTGAAATGGATGTGCTCTTTAGTGCATCGAACACTTTGCCATACATCTCTTGTCCTCTAGATCTTTACCAGAATGAACAGAATAATGTGAACATTAATTCTTATTGTCACCATGTGGCTTACCTTGCGTGGTCTTTGCTTCCCTTGCATGTCTAAAGAACAAAGGCATGAACCCATCGCACTTTAAAGGCTTAGCCACCTCCACGCATGAGCCTGCAGCCGATGGTAACTCAGCAAAATTCAAGTGAGATACACTCTCAACACTGCCACATAATCATTGTAATAGAAACTCTTAACTACATGAATAGGTTGCAAATGAATATGATAAATTATAGCATAATGCAAAGATATATTACTAAAATATAGGTATAACAATAAAACATAAATTAGCTTCTATAAAATCAGATCTCTAAATGTACATCTTAATCTGTTTGCTTACTGTACCCTTACCCAGCTTGTAAGAAAATCCTTTATACTATCTATATTAATACACCATTCAGTCCATAAAGAAAACCAAGGCTGATTTTCTCTATTCAGTCTCCCATAATACTATACTTCAGAAGCCTTTTAGCTAGCACACATTTTTGGTCTTAATCCTACTATCTTATCTAAAATTATTTTTATCTATGGAAAGGAGATGGGTAGTCAAGAAACAGAAAGCCTCCCTCTCCTCCACACTACTGCCACCACCTCCTGGGCTCCTCAGATATCCTAAATTTACCCTCTCTTTGCCCTTTGGAATTACCCTTCCCAATACCTTCTGGGCATGGTAGAGTATGCATGCCTGTCATCCCAGCACTAGGGAAGTAGAGGCAGGAAAAACAGAGGATCAAGGCCAGCCTAGTTTATATAACAAATTCAAGGCTAGCCTCTGCTGCATGAGACACTGTCTCAATAAATAATTAAGTCTCTGAGTGGGTATGTGCATGGATGTGCAGTGCATGAGGAGAGAGGCGCGTGTGTGTATGCGTGTGCGTGCGTGTGCGCGTGCGCATGTGTGTGTGTGTGTGTGTGTATGTGTGTGTGTGTGTGTGTGTGTGTGTGTAAAGAGAGGATTGGGTGAGGGGAACTGCCTTTGTTAGACACCAAATTTGCAAGTATCTTCACACAGAGTAGGAACACCATTTCCTGAAACTACAAACAACTGCTGTTTAATGATCATTAATAACATCATCATAAAAATCAACAATTGTTGATATTGAGAACTTATTTTATACTTAGCTGAATTATGATCTTGAGCTTCCTGCTTATATTTCTGTTTTGGTAGAGGTCACACTGATCCTGTCTGAGCATCATCTTTGCATGTCTGTCCTGACCCATCTCCAACCACTCAGTAAGCCTTCCCAATCTCAAATCACTCATTATGTAGTCAGTATTGTCTTATGTCTTATTCCCTACCTAAAGCTCCTCACTAGTTTACTCTTCTGTTAATTAAGGAAGAAATTTCACCCCTTGTACAAGAGGCATCCAAAACCCAGCCCTGGCTTCTCATCAGCCTCAGCCTCTCACTTCCCCTGCCCCTCTTAAAAGTATGCTAGCCTTCGTGCCTTTCCATCACTAGACTACTGCGTAAGTGCTTCTTTTTTCCTGAAGCCCTCAGAGCACCTTCCGCTGCCTATTCTAATTCCTACTTTATGGTTTAAATATCAGCTCCTCAGGGAGACCTAGTCCTCAGACTGTGTCATTCAAGCCTATTATCTTTAGTTTGGACTTTCACTTCTCATTCTAAAGCTTACCCAATAGTAATTGCATGGTTCTTCATATGATTTGTATAAATGAAAATTTGATGCCTGAAGATAACACAGAACTTTCAAGTCAAAGGAACTGAATTTGGGATGAGCCACATTTCTCTGTGTTGAAAACCAGACTTCTTCCTTCTAAAATTAGTTGACTCATTTTCTTAACAACTCTGTTACTATTTGACTATGACAGTAAACAAAATGGATTTTGACTCTCTCTTCAAGGAACTTGTATTGCAATAGGAGATACATATTTATTGAGCATTCTCTAACCACATAGCTACAAATTCTCAGTACTATAAAGAAAGGGTTTAGGGGATTAGGAGATGCTTGACGTGGGGAGCAGTTACTCTTGCCTGGGAAGGCCATAGAAGGCTTCCCCAAGGAAATAATATTAAGAGGAGAAATAAAATACTCTTAGAAGTTAGAGAATTTGGAGGCATGGTGTGAATCATCAGAGGCCCAATGAAAAGTGACATGGAACTACTGAGATGGAGACTGTGGTGGTTTGAAAGAAAACGATCCCCAACGGGAGTGGCACTACTAGGAGGTGTGGCTTTGTTGGAGTAGGTGTGGCCTTGGAGGAAGTGTGTCACTGGGGGGGTGGGCTTTGAGGTCTTCTATGCTCAAGCTATGCTCAGTGTGGCACACAATTCACTTCCTGTTTCCTGCGGATCAGGATGTAGAACTCTCAGCTCCTCTAGCACTACATCTGCTTGCATGCCACCATGTCCCTCCATGATGATAATGGACTAAACCTCTGAAACTGTAAGCCCTCACCCCCAATTAAATATTTTCCTTTATAAGAGCTGCTGTGGTCATGGTGTCCCTTCAGAGCAATAGAAACCCTAACTAAGACAGACATCATGGCCAGTGAGAAATTTTCATGGGAAATCTGAGGTTCAAGTAGCAGAAAGATGAGGTAAACACTGTCATGTTCCACAGTTGGGAGGACTGGGGCCACGAAGAAGCCAAAGATTTCAAGTGAGCCCACCCCACACCCCTGTAGTCATTGTGCTGGTACTGAAATTGTACACAGAATGGTTGAGTAGTTTTCCCAAAGTCACAAAGAAGGTACAGAATGTGCTTTGGATCACTCTTTGCTGCTGATGCGCTGCATTCATTACCTGCTCTAGGCTGGGTAGAATTGGAATGCAGGCACTTTAGAAGTCACAAGGGCAGCTATGTGAAGTACTAGTGATTTTGGTGGACATTTATTTTGTCTTTATTACTGCTTTTCTTGGGACAGGGAGGGAGATTCAGATCTCTAACTAGGTCGGAAAAAGGGAAAGCCTTTAAACTTAAAACAGTTAGTGTATCTTTTCACTCATAGTAGCTCAGTAAATAAATCTTAAAACTAATGTTGCCTTATTTG